AATGACCATGTATGTCTAGCCAAAATGTTCTCTTCTCGATGATAGTGATTGCACAACACATAAAAATCTTACTGAATTCAGTATCTCTTCAGTGATTTTGAAAATTTTTTATATAATATGGAGAAAGTATCATTTTTGTCTAAGCTTTTAAAAATACTAATATGTTATACTTCCAGATGTTAATATAAGTTATTGTTAGTACTAATGTCTGGATGAAATGAAGTTAAAGGAGTATATTTTTTAAAAATTACAATACTACGTACACTATGTTTGAAGCATAGAATATTTTCCCAATGTGTCCTTAGTGCATAGAACAGTCCCATGCATACCCTGAATGTGTCCCATAAATATTTATGAGTGATGAAAATGATGAATAAGTGGATTCCAAAAGAGAAAGGACACATATAGTTTAAATGACACAGGAAATAATCAGGCTGCATGAGGAAGATTGGAGAATCTTCTCCTTATAGGATTGGAAGACATCAGGAGAAGTGCATATGTTTCATTTTTGAAACAGTAGTAGTCGTAGAAGGGAAGGATGTAAAATAATGTACACCTCCAGTCTAACAGTTTAACATTTAAATTTTTTTTCTGTTTGTAAACCAGAATATAACATCTTGTCATGTATAGTATTAACCTATAGATAGTAATTATTTTGAAATAATTATAATATAAGAAATTTCCATTTGGAGAAAAAACAAGTGTGGATATGATCCATGGCCTTTTGCAACCATAAAATACAGGTTTCTCTCTCTCTTGCTTCTCTCAAAAAATATTTTTATACCTTTCATGCAGTTATTTTGTCTATTGATTTGTTCCTGCTGTTTTACAAATATTTTTGAAATATTCTGTGATGTCTATAGATTGAGTTTGTCATTTAAAATTGTTTTTACTTTTAGATAAAGGCAGATCTTATATTACGAAACTTCCCTTCTCTAGGGGTTCTAATATAACAATCACTGTGCCATTTGAAAGTGTCTAAACTAGAGGTAAAATTATCCCTTTTTCTTGCATTGTAGCAGTTAAAATCATGCCATTTTTTAGTTTGCTTTATATTTGGACATTGACTTTATCTGTTTTTTTTTTTAAATTAATTTTATGTGGAACTTCTAAATGAGAACTCTTTTCTATTAAAGGAGAAACATGAACTTCCTTTACCATGACCCAGATGCTAGCTGCCAATTTTGACTTCCAGTCTATTATATAGGCTTCTCTTTTTTTTCCTCTTCTTTTCTTTTTATTTTTGGAACCTAAATAAATTTGTTTCAATATACTGTTTTTTTTTTCTTCTTTCCTTTACCTTGTTTTCTCAATCGTTCAGATTTTGTTTTAGTTTCTCTGTTTGCCACATTCAATAGTCATCCTAACCATACATTTCTTTGGAATGCTAAAATAGTGTTTTACGTACCTTTCATTTCTTTTTCCTGGTTTTATTTTTATTGCATGGGACACTATTTATTCAAGAAGACATTCTTCAATAAATTTATCAGGCTATTTATGTGAAAACATTCTATATTTTTATATGTCTGAAAATATCGTTATTTTGTCTTCACATTTAATTGGTAGATGTCTATAGAAATCTACTCTCAAAGAAAAGAAAAATTTTTT